AGATATAATTTCAACTTCCTTTACAGCCAAATAGAACCCTGTCATTTTTATGTGTCACACAAATTCACTGTTTTATTGCGTACAGCTGAATAAGGAGGCGTGTTTATTATATACAATATAAACGTCCTACTGATGAATGGATAATGAAAAAATGATACACACATATACACACATACACACATACAATGGGAAAACTATTCAGCTGAAAGAAAAATAAAATCCTGGAAATCACAGGTAATGAATGGAACTAGAAAAGATTATACTGGGTGAGGTAACCAATCGGGTGAGGACAGGCAAATGTTGCATGTTCTCTCTCATCTGAAGTTCTTAGCGCCACATCCTCAACTTGTCTATGTGAGTAGACAACATAGGGTAAGCGCAGAAACTAGGAGTGTAAAAGGGACTATTGGAGGAGAAAAAGGATGGGGGGGAGGAACACTGGAGAAGGAAATAGCAGGATAGAGACGAAATGAAGAAAGAAATGGGAAAGTGAAGGGGAGGGGCGCTTTCTTAGTTAGGGTTTTGTTGCTGAGAAGAGACACCATGACCACAGCAACTCTTATAAAGGAAAACATTTAATGGGGGCTGGCTTACAGTTCAGAGGTTTAATCCATTATCCTCAGGGCAGGAAGCTTGGTGGCATGCAGGCAGTCCAAGACTTAATCTCTCTCTCTCTCTCTCTCTCTCTCTCTCTCTCTCTCTTTTTCCAAGACAGGGTTGCTCTGTGTAGCCCTGGCTGTCCTGGACTCACTTTGTAGACCAGGCTGGCCTCAAACTCACAAGATCTACCTGTCTCTGCCTCCCTTAATCTTAATAGATGAGATCTGCTCCTGATAACCAAAGGTGGGAAGACTTCAGACTCCTGAACTTCGACTTTCGGCTTGTCATTCTGCATCTGCACAGCGGACTTCCAGGGCTGGTAACAAATTCCAATCAGGTTCCCCCGGGGCTTTGTGGTTGTCCCTATTCTCTTTCCCTCACTGGTAATCTGCATCCATGGGCTCTCAGGCTGGACCACAGTCCTTCCTTGGCCACACTAAGAAAGGACAGCCAGCGCTCTACAGTAGGTGGTACTGCCAAGCTCCCCTTGGCGAGGTGGAGTGAATGCATCGCAACACCTGGCATTTCCAGTTTACAATTAAGTTTTGGAGGATGTAGTCTGGTTTCAAGTGAAGGAGTGCTTGCTCTCTAGTCATAATCGCAGCTGACGCATCCTCTCTGGAAAGCATCCACTTCATCAACGAGGACTTGGAAACAAGTGACTGAGCACAAACTCAGCCGAGTGATGCCTTACAGACCAAAGCGAAGACTGTTTCCCAGGCCCAGTGGGCAACAGTTTGCAATTGCTAAGAAGAAATCTCCAAATAAAATCCCAATTAAAAAATCACCTCCCTAAAGTATTCTTTGGTCAAAAGAAATCCAATTTGACAAATACTAGATACAAATTTGGCAAAAGACTAGATTTGTTTTCCTCATACATGTATCCTCTGATTGTCTCTCAGAATCCATGGCCCTCTCTCAAATAGCTCTGCTCTGTCTCCCCCCACACCTATCCAGAACTTCCTCCATTTTCTTCAGATCCCTGCCTAGTCCTGAAAATGCCCTGGTCTCTTTAAAGGCTCACACCTCCTACAAGAAACAAACATAACTACACAATGTAAACCTTGAGAAGATTCCCTGGGTAGGGCCACTTGCTGCAAAGCCTAACCGCCAGAGTTTGGTTCCTGGGATCTACGTGATGGGAGAAGAGAAAACTGTCCTCTGGGTACCACACACACACTGTAGCATAGGAATGTTGCATGGGCACATGGTAAGTAAACATAACAAAAATGTAAACAAAAAAACAAACAAAAAACCAAACAAAACATGTAAACATGTAAAATGAAAATAAGAAACAAACCATAATTTCTGATCATAGATGATACCAGTAATTAGTCACAGAATAGTAGTATTTGGTGGAAAGGTATGTCATCCAGGATTACCTGATCAGTTTCTACTTCTGCCATTCGAAATCCTGAACGGCAAAAGCTGGTGGGCTTAACCAGAAAGGGACCCATAGAATTTTTCTGTGTGTTAACACAGTCCATGAGAAAACTCAAAATATGAGAGTGAAGTCTTTTAAAAGTTGTGTCTAAAATATTTGCAATCAAAAAGACTGGATTATAATTGGATCATACAATGAAAAAATAATATAAGGGATTGTCTTAGTGACAGTTCTATTGCTGTGAAGAGACAGTATGACCGAGACAGCTTATGAAGAAAGCATTCACTGGGGGACTAGCTTACAGTTCCACAGGGTTAGTCAATGATCATTATGGTCAGGAGTATGGTGGCCAGCTAATCAGGCATGGTAATGGTACTGGAACAGAATTTGAGAGCCTACATCTGATTTATGTTGCAGGCAGAGAGACAAACAGATAGATCAAGACAGAAAGAGAGACTGGGCTTGGCTTGGGCTTTTGAAACCTTAAATCCCACTCCTAGAGACAGACCTCCTCCAACAAAGCCATACCTTCAACAAGGCCACACCTACTCCAACAAGGCCATACCTCCTAGCTTTTCCCAAACAGTTCCTCTAACCTCAGACCCAAGCTTCAAACATGCAGGCCTATGGATGCCATCTCATTCAAACCACCACAGAGATTTTGAGACTGAATTAGAAAATACATGACTATATTTGGGAGATTAAGATACAAACCTTTCAAATAACTTTCTCTGTGGAGTTAAACCTGAAACTGGAGGTATGATTCTGTAAGGGAAGTGGAGTGAAGGATAGCCCCTTGCCAGAGCTGCAACACCAGACAAGAATAAGAAGACTCATTTCCCCGAGTTATTCAATACAAAAGCTTGCTTTTTGTTTGGGGGAAAAATATTGAAGACTACTGCCTCTATGGTTACTTTGCTTTCCATGAAATGCTCCCTTCTCTAATTGTGTGTCCCATGTGTACTGTAATAAAACTACCATGGCCACAGAGCCACCAGGAAAACTCCCAAGTCCTTTAAAACATGGGGAGACCCAATATATGTGAAAGCCATAGTCTTGAGGGGAATGGAGGCCTCACAAGTGGATTATGATGCAGACACCATCCATCTGCTACAGCCCTCTAGCCAAGGTCTCTGGCCTTGTGTAGCGTCAGCCCTATGTATTACCTGAACATGGTAAACATGGGACCAGACACTTCTAAACCCATGGAAGGATCGAGCTGGGTCGAGATGCGAACAGCCAAAAAAAAAAAAGACACAGTTGTTCCAGTCCTGAAAACTGGGCATTATATTTAAGCTGTAGAATGTACCTCCCTTATCTTTCTTACCAACACTTATTTTTAGCTTGAATTACTGTGTCTGACACAGGAACCCTGGTACAGGACAGAGCTGGTGAGGTCATAGTGGTTAGACTGGTCTCAGGCTGTGGGCCCCCTCCTTACTCCATTCCTTGCAATGCCACCCTAGCAAGATGTGTCCCCGTCAAGTCTCCAAATGCCTACGCTTCTGCTGAGAGGTCTCATTGGCCAGGTCTTGTAACTTGACATGTCCTCACAGATGCAAAATGTCTTGTCATTTGTGATAACACACCATGCCGTCATTTAGATAGATTGTAATTTTTTATTTTTAAATGTTCCCCATATTTGTGTCCACCAACACTGGAAGTTTATCCTCAAGGGGGTCCCTGGCCTTGCTATGGGGCATGGCAATGTGCCCAACTAATCATTCTGTATACACAAAATGTGGCTTCTCATCTTACCTAGGATGTTCCTTCCTGTGAATCCTAGCACCCCAGTCAAGTGGGAAATCTTAAAGAAACTTAGGGTGCTGCAAACACACACCACTGGGCTGGGGGCAGAGGCGAGGATGGCCAATCTGCACAATGAAGAGTGGGGCCCCAAAATCCCTGCTCCTCACATACTCCCTCTCACTTTCCTGTTCACAGTTAGAGGTAGAGAGGTCCGAAGCCTTCGCGACTGGCCCAAGCAAAGCTGAATATGCTATGCAGGCTTGGGCCCTCCATTCTGCCTAAGGGGAAATGCTTTCTTTCTACAGTAGGAAATACACTTCCCCTTTAATTCATTTACACTTGAAACATTCATCTACGACCCGTTCTAGGATGTGTTCACCTAGTTCTCCACCCAAATAAGCTGGCCACGTGGGAGGACGGGGGAGGAAGGCATGCTGTTGGAAAGACATCAGCTGTTTCCAACCTACTAATGTAAAACACCTCCCCAAGGCACCCCTGAAGCTTTAGCACTGTCTTTCTTTCCAGCTTCTGTGGCTCAGACCGGAGTAGGAGAAAACAAACGCTGGCAGAACGGCCCGGGTTTGGCCATGAAGGGTGAGGCAGTTGCCGGCTTACACGTGCAAAGTCTGCGAGTACACACGTGCTTGCACACTGGAAAGGACTCAAGCTTCCTAGCACTCGGCACTCAACGTGTTCACAGACACACACTGGCGCTAGCAAATAGTCCAGTTTGCCACTGGGTGGAGGAGCCGATTGGGGCTTGAGCTCTTTGGATCCCAAACACCAAGGCTAAAACAAATGCAAGTAGTTGGTATGCACAGCTCTGTGAGTGGCTGAGAACGTTTGATTTGTGAGGATTTCAAAACTTTAATAACCCGGAGATTCTTACTGCGGTTTCCGGAAATTAGGAGCCGAGAGTGCCAGAGGACAATGAATTTCAACACTGGCCACTGCTTTGTTCTGAGGAAGGTCACCTGCAGGGAGGGAACCCCAGACTACAGGAGGAAATCCTAGAATCACAGGGTTAGGTCACTTACCACTTGATGCAAGACGCATCAGTAACACCACCAAGAGCCATCCGTCCTTCAACTCTACTGCTCTCCCGTGATTACTACAATAGATTTCCTGTGACATTTTATTCACGTATAGACACACTTCGAAGTCATCAACCTGGGTTTTGTTTTGTTTGTTTTTTTTGTTTTTTTTGGCAACCAGGAAAAGAATTTGACACATTTTTTGATTCATCATTTTATTTACACAACTGCAATTATTTCCTTAGTCACCTTGATTACAAAAAAACAAGATCAACACAGTACGGTTTAATCCTTTCTTAAATGGATCTTACAAACTTTAATGGTTGACAGATTGCTACTTAATAGTAATATTCATTATGTGGTAATTTCTGCGTATATGTAGATGAAGAATCTGTCTTGACAGTGCTGACAAGAATGGGTACTTTGACAAGTATGGGTACTGTTATATCGCAAGGACAGACAAGTGGTTACACATTATGTGTTGATTCCCCACAGGTGGGCTAGCTAGTCAGACTCACGCTCTCTGCTCTTGGGAGCTAGCCTACTGTAGCAATTCACTTACTGTGTAGGCATGTTGAATGATCTGCGTTTACCCTTACTTTTGCATTTAAGAAAACTATCATTCAGCACATCTGAAAAGCAAAAAGGGTCCCATGACTAGAGATATTTATGTTAAAAAAAAAAACTTATCACAGTGTATCTGAAAAAAAAAATGGCCTAAACTAAAGCCGTAAGTATATGCCTAAATAAGCATTTTTCATCTTTCTGTCTCGTCTGGCTGTGTGTGTACACAAATATTACACAGACTCCGTAAGGCTCTATCTGGTAATACTTATTGGAGCATTCTCACCCACATAAATAGTCACAATTTTACTGTTTGTGAAATGCCCATAAAATATAATATTTTGCTACATCTATTTAAAAGTCCTATCACAGTGCTTTAAGTCTGGAGACCAGGCAGTGTTTTGGTAATGTGACCTCTTCCTAGGAAGTGACAGTCCAGAGACAGCCAAAGAGCTACCAAGACTGCTAAGAGCCATCTTGCTAAAGCCTTGGAGGAGTGTGGAGTGTCTGTGGCTGCAAACCATCAGTACAGAAAAGACAGGAACCTCACGTGAGTCATGGACAGAACGAACGGAAGAAACCAAAACACGTGCCACAGCAGCATCAACGACGAACAGGAAGAGCTGATCCTTTCACGCGAGCTCTATAAGAGCCAAAACTGTTCTTTCACCTCAGTCGTTACCAGGGCAGCTTCTAACACAACTAGCTGAACTGTCCTTCCCTTTGCGCGAGTTACCAGTTAAAAGGAAGATAGACCCACCTGTCCCCAGCACAGAGGAGGGGTGCACTCTTTGTGGGGGCCAGCATTGGTGGCTCAAGGCCTCTAAGTGTCAGCAACTCTGGGCCCGAAGGCCACGTCACTCCTAAAGTCCCCCTTCTTCTTCATCCTGTTCTGGTCAGCGGGTAGTGGTCACTCGGCATTGAACGTGTGAGATTAACGCAGAGGGCTCAACAGGGAAGATGCGTCCTGTGGGGCCCCGTCTTTCCAGCTGCCTCACACGTAGCGAGGGCAGTGCCAAATTCTCTCCATTGTGCTAAATCTAAGAGCCGTTTAACCATGACAGAAACGAAACATTTCCCTAAGAAAAGGCTATATGGTTTAAAAAAAAACAAAAAAACAAAAAAACCAAAAAATCTATATTGAGGGTGTCATATGCTGAGCCGAGGCCCATCTTTAGGCTCCTTTCTCCCCTCCAGCCCTGGTGGGCTTTGGAAGCAACTACCCAAGCCCTTACTGGCTCTCATACTAAACAAGGACAGGTCATTCTGGCCAGGTTTTTCAACTTACGTCGTTTGTATGTGTGCTTCATGTTGAGACCCTTTTTGTGTGTGGTAGGCTTTTTTGTTATCAACCAGAAAAATCAAACAGTCAGATACAATTTCTCATACAAGTTGTGAATGGCAGACTCCACACATGTGAACACACAGACCAAGGGAGGTGCTACCCAATTAAGGGGAATGGGAATCTCCCCAGAAGACTCGGAGCGCCCACCCTGTGGAGGAGTGCTAGGAGAAAGGACCACCAGGAGGGAGGGAGCTATTGGAAGTAAAACCACTTTGGAAGCCACTAAAACAAACTACATTGATCAAGTCTACCACCTGGGGCTGGTCTTGGCCAGTGTGGTGTGCGCCAAGGGGCCGGTGGGCTTGTTGCTCTTGGTGTGTTTCTTCCCCCCTTGGGAGTCCGTTACCGTTCACAAAGAAATGTTAACTATCAAATGTGTCCATTAATTTTGCCGCTGAGGGTGAAACCATCCAGTTAGCATATACACTATCATTTGCATATCTTGGGAACCCAGTGCTAGTGCCATCGGCTCTCGTGAGTGGTACAGGACTCTCTCCAGGCCAGTTCGGGTCTGACATGCCTAAAAATGAAAACAGATAATTTGTTCTGCACTGAAGAACTCAAACTTCATGTGCAGACAGTAAGGCCTTGGCAAAACTCCCTTTGACAGTTAAACCAACTTGCGCTCCTCTGTGCCAATTACGCTAATGGTTTTTGCATCCCAGGTTTCCAAAACACTGCTCTGCTTTGGGCAGTTACCACTTGCTCCTGGTAAAGGCAATTTAGCAGACACTCCCAATCTCAACGTCTGTGACTTTAGAGTCTCAAATCTGAAACAGATCTGGTCACCCGCTTAACTTTGTTTTCCTAGGGCAGTGTAAAGCATCAGGAAACGGCTGGCCTACAGGCTTCTCTAAGGTAGAGAGGCTACTGATCTGTCATCCCAGCTAAAGTGGAGGAGGAAGGCTTCCTTTCCTACAGAGGGCACACAGGCCGCCCTGCAGCACTGTTGGTACTACACCCAAAGCCAGTGAGGACCTGTGACTCAGGAAGCATGCACAAAGAACCTACCTGAGCTTCAAAGTGCTCGGGACTCCCAAGATTTCAAAAAAGGATTAATGATGAAGTTAGGAAGCGGAAAAAATTTCAAGTATTTAATCCAAGACAAAGAAGGAGTTTTGGCAAGAACCGTATTTACTGTCCATTGCAAGGCCACAGCACCACAGACTATGTTCTTTCAGAAAGCATTGGCTCAGTGTTTAGCACTGGCTTCGTAAGTGACAACATCGTTAACGGGGGTAGGGTGCAAAGGATGTGAAAGCAACAGTCTGGTGTCTGCCCAGGGCCCACGTGGTCTTCCTGCTGCCCCACACTGCATGGCGGTGGACAAGTAGCCGGAAGCGGAAATTCGGCAGGCTTTGGCGAGGCACACACCAGCCTAGGAGTGGCCTGGATGTGCCCTCGCTATGTTTTCACTGCATGCTGGGATGCCAGCTTCCCTTTGCTAAATTTAATCTCCCACCCATCCTCCCCCATCAGGTAAATTTAACTAAGTAACGAAGTCAGAAGTACTGTTGAGTTGCTTCCCAATGTCCCCTGAGAATTCTGCTATAATCCGCTTCTCCTGTGTCATCTTTAGTTGCTGGGCCGAGTGGTAATGACACTTATTTTCACATCCTTTTAGGAAGACATAGCTGCAAAATGCCTGAATGTAAACTGGATGCCGAGTCAGAGATTTACAAAGAAAGGGGTTCAGAATAGGCTTTGGTTTCGTTGGGAATCAGACAACACTCTTAGAAAGCAATACAGAGAGTTGGGATGGTGCAGAGGGGACAGCGTTGCTTAGAATCTAGTAAATGCATGTGAAATTCTACCATAGAGTTTGTTTTCAATCCATGTGGAAGGGAGGGAGCGCGGGAGGGGAGCACTGTTACAGTCCACCAGGGGCGTCTCCTCCTCTGAGAGGCCATCATCATAGAGCAGTGAGTCCGAAGGAGTGGATGCAGCCAGGTCCAAGTAGTCCTGCAAGAGAGAGAGAGAGGTGGCCAATCACCTTTGACCCTGGCACTCCCCTAGACATTCTCAGGGCCCCTTAATGCTCAGGGGGCAGAGGTTCTGGCTGTATTCCTACCCTGCCCTGTCTCTTGGCGTCTCTCTAAGACCACAGGCCTCCATCCGGGAGGATGGCACTGAAGTACAGCACTGGGGCTTCTTAATCTAGCCAAGAGCAGAGGGCTGGGGAGTTGGCTTCTTTGTGTATTCTTGTGCCTTGGCCACACTACTCTTGCTGAAGTATGGTGTGTCGAGGTTCAGCCCAATGGCTGCTTTCCAGCTTCCCTTCCGGGACCTCTCACTGTCCTCAGAGGATTACGCCAGGGCACGGATACAGCTTTCAGCTCGACGCGCACGAAAAATGGCGGGTGCCTGCCACTTAAGCTACTCCGGTAACTATGGAGCCAGCTCCAGTGTTGTCCTAGCTGGTTCTCATCACTGCCAATTTGGCATCTGTTGTCACTTCCTCTCAGGACAGCCCTGCGCCACAGATCTTGAAGGTTCTCTCAAGAAACAACAAAACTGTGTCAGTGCATTCAAGGCTATTCCCCACTTTCTCTTCTAACAGACTCGGTTATCAATTTTACATTGAGGGTCGGTATGTTTGGAGCTGAGTTTTGTGCGGGGTGATTAAGCATGAATTTGTCTAGATTATTCTACATGCAGCCATCCAGCTTGACCAGCACCGCGTGCTGAAGTTTCTGTCTCTTTTAAGTATATTTCTGGATTCTTCCCCCAAAATTAGGTGTCTGTAGGTGTGTGGATTTATGTCAGCTCTTCAGTTTGATTCCAGTGATTAACAGGTCTATTTTTGTGTTAATACCACACTGTTTCTATTACTGTAACTTTGGAGTACAGCTTGAAATAGGGGATTGTGATACCGCTCAGTTTTTTTTTTTTTTATTGACCTGGATTGCTTCATTCTGTTTATTTATTTGTGTGTGTTTCATATGAAGCCAAAAATTCTTTTCAAGATCATGAAGAACTGTGCTGTTATTCTGATGGTTACTGCATTGAATCTGTAGATTGCTTTTGGTAGGATGGCCATTTTTACTATATTAATTTTCTTCAATATTTTCTTTATTGTACCCGTTTTTCACTGCTTGGCTAGAGTTACCCTGAGCTGTTTTATATTATTTGAGGCTACTGTGAAAGGTGTTATTTCCATGACTTCTTTCTTAGTCCATTTGTCATTTGTATGTAGGAGAACTACTGATTTTTTTTGTGAATTAACTTTGTATCCAGCTACTTTGCTTAAAGTGTTTATCAGTTGTAAGAGTTTTCTGGTGATATTTTTTTTTGTCACTTATGTATACTATCATACCATCTGCAAATAAAGATACTTTGAGCTGGGCATGGTGGCACCTGTAATCCCAGCACTCAGGCAGGCTGATCTCTGTGAATTCAAGGTCAGCCTGATCTACAACGTGAGTCCAGGACAGCCAGGGCTACACAGAGAAACCCTGCCTCAAAAAACTAAGAATGAATGAATGAACGAACAAACAAATAAATACTCTGGCTTCTTCCTTTCCCATTTGAATCCTTCTGGTCTCCTTCAGTTGTCTTACTGCGCCTTGTGTACTATACTAAACAGATATGGAGAGAGTTGATAATCTGATTATAGTGAAAATGCTTTTTAGTTTCTCTCTACTTAAGCTGATGTTGGCTACAGACTTGCTGTAAACTTCCTTTCCTCTGTGTTGAGCTATGTCCCTATCCATAATCTCTCCAGGGCTTTTATCATGAAAAGGTATTGAGGATTTTGTCAAAGGTCCTTTCTGCATCTAATGAGTTGATTATGTGGTTTTTGTCTTTCAGTTTGTTTATATGATGGGTTACATCTACCCATTTACCCATGCCAAACCATCTCTGGATTTACGAGATGAACTTACTTGCCATGGTGGATGTTCTTTTTGGATTCAGTTTGCAAGCGTTTTATTGAGAAATCTTGCACCTATGCTTATAAGGGAAATTGGTCTGTAGTTCTGGCTCTTTGTTCAGTCTTTATCTGCTTTAGTTATCACGGTAACTGTGGCCTCATAAAGCAAACTGGGAAATGCTCACTCTGTTTATATTTTGTAGAATTATTTGAGGAGTATTGGCATTAATTCTTCTTTGAAAGTTTAGTAGAATTATGTGCTAAAACCGTCTGGCCCTGGGCCTTTTTTGGTTGGGAGATTTTTAATGACTGCTTCTATTTCACTAGGGTTTTCAGGTCTGTTTAAGTCATTTTTCTGATCTTGATGCAACTTCAGCATGTGGCACATACTGAGAAAATTACCCATTTATTTTAGATTTTCCGATTTGGTGGAGCATGTCATTACAATTCCCAGATTTCCTCAGTGTCTGTTGTTATGTTCCCCTTTTCATCTCTAATTTTGTTAACCTGGATATTCATTTTCTCCTTTGAACCCATTTAGAAAATACTTCCCTAATGCAGCACCATTAGCTCAGGCACCAAGACTGATAGATGCTTAACAAATGGAATGAAACCGAGAAGCTTCTGAAGAGCAAAGGACAATGTCATTCACAAAGTACCAGCTTACAAAATGGGAACAAGATTTTTACCAACTACACATCTGATAAAGGGCTAATATACAGCATATGTAGGATACTAAAAATACCCTGGATATCAAGAAACAACCCAATTAAAAAGGGGGTACAGAGCTAAACAGAAAATTTTTAAAAGATGAAAATTCAAATAGCTGAGAGAAATGTTCAGCACCCTGTAGTCCACAGGGAAATGCAGATCAAAACTACTTTGAGATTTATCTTACACCTGTCATAATGGCTAAGATCACAAACGACAGCTCATGAGGGTGAGGGTGTGGAATGTGGGGAACTTGTCCTTCACTGACTGAAGTGCAAACTTGTGGGAAGTTCCTTTGGAAGATGGGGACTGATCTACCTGAAGATCCAGCTAAACCACTCCTGGGCATACACACAAAGGACTTTACTTCCTTCTACACAGACACGTGGCTCAACCATGTTCATGCTGCTCTATTCATAATACCCAGAAATTGGAGACAACCCAAATGTCCCTCAATAGATGAATGGATGGAAAAAAAAACTGGTACATTTGCATAATAAACTATTCCTCAGCCATTAAAAAAAAACAAAACAAAAAAAAAAAAACAACCCATGAAATTCTCAGCTAAATGGACTGAACTAGAAGAAAAATCATCCTGAATTAGGTAATCCAGACCCATACAGACAAATATGGCACACATTCACTTCTAAGTAGATGATAGCTGTTAAGTCACTAATAACCAAGCCACAATCCACAGAGCCACGGATGTTAAGTATAGGGACTCTGAGGTGGGGACGGACAGGTCTCCCTAAGAAGGGGAAATAGAATACTTATGGCTGGAACAAGAAGAAGGGGGAGGGGAAAATACAGGGAGAGACAGCTAAAATTAAGAGCCACTAAAGGAGTAGTATAGAAATCCAACACAATAAAAGCTTCCTATCTGTATCTATATGAAGGCAATTTAAACGAAACTGCCAATAGGGTAGACAAGAGTTGCAACTGGACATCTTTTGTCACCAAACCAAGCTTCTACTACTGGGAATGGGTTACATTCAGAATATTCAGAATACATACAGAATATATACGTGTGTGTGTGTATATATATATATTATATATATATATAATATATAATATATATATTCTGAAATATATTTGTATATTTACATAAAAATACATATAAAAATACATATATAAAAATACATATTCATAATACATATATTTCCAGTTTTGTGTTGTTAATGGGACTCGAGTGTGTGAACAAATTTGTCTCTGTGTCTATAGCTGTTTCTTGTGCTTTTTCTTTGGCTCTTTTCCTTCTGACTTGGCTCTTGTCCTAGTCTGGCCTGTTTTTATTTCATCTTACTACATTTTATTTCAGTTTATTATTATCCCTTAGATGCTGATTTGTTTTCTGATTGAGAGACAGAAAGGAGGTAGGTCTGGATGGGAAGGTTGCTGGAGAGGAACTAACTGGGAGGAATACAGGGAGGGGAAAACATAATCAGAATATATTGTATGGAAAAAAAAATCTATTTTCAAGAGAAGAAAAAAACCAACAAAACCACTTTAAAAAAAATTGTATGTGTGAGACTGTGTATGTGTGAATGTGTGTGTGACACCTGATTACATCCTGCTCTGCCACTCTTTACCTTGGTCCCTTTCGACAGGGTCTGTCACTGCATTTGTAGCTGGTTCTCAGCAAGTACCAGAAACCTTCCTGTTTTTGTCCTTGTCCTTCACAGCACTGGCCACACTTGGCCTTCTATATAGATGCTGGGATTTGAACTTAGGTCCTCACGATTGTACTGATGCTCTTATCAACTAAGCCGTCTCTCCAACACAAACTGCTGCATTTTATCCCAGGGAGCCTAGATTGTGTGCTCTTTTGGAATCCGAAGGAATTCCAATCTGAAGGATGAAGACAAGGTTTCTATGGAGGTAGGTGTGACTGAGGACGGTCATGTTTACCTGTCTCCCTAGCATCCAGTGCAAACAGCTGCTCATTAAATATTTGGCGAAGATTATTCAACCGTCTCACCAAGGCACAGAGGCCGGCTATTTTCAAGTGTTTTGTTTGGCTGACACTAGGTTCTGGGCATCTATGTGAACAGTTAATAAAAACCGGGAGACAACATCAACTTCTTAAAATTCCTGTAGGCCACATGTGCTAACGGCATGATGCCCTTGACAGGGTGCTCACAATTGTGGTGCCAGGGTTCCAGTCCTACTCACTGCCCACCTCAGGTACCTCAGAGCTTATGCATTTAGGGCACGGGCTTCAATTCTACGTTCTGACACTCCATTCCAGTATGGTACAGGCTATCCTTTGATTCTGAAATATTCTCCAGTACTTGCCTGTGAAGAAGACCTCCTGCCTGAATACAAGCTAGAAACCAAGATGTCTCCATTACTGCAGGGCCCTAGAGGACTGACCAGCTTGGGGGGCAGATTTTCATCCTCTGCCTGCCCTGGTTGGAAAGCACAGCCATCCCCTCTGGCCTTGCAGTGGAAACACACACTCCCATTCCTAGGTGAGCCATTGGCAGTGACTTGGGGACTCACTCGGCTCTTCACCATCATCTTCTCCAGATCCTTGCTGATATCGGCGAACACTGGCCTCTTGTCTGGCTCCTGCTTCCAGCACTGCAGCATCAGGCGGTACCTGGACGGAAGCACAGGCAGGTGGTGATGCCCTAGCAGGCCTGCCACACCCAGAGTTGGCTCTACAGGCCGATGCCTCCTCTCTCTAGGTTGTTTCTAAACCACTTGCAACTCTGAGCTGGACTGAGGGGCAGGCCGCTGACACATTCTCTCCAGAGGGGCTCACTGTTCATTCCTTAGACCAACAGGAGTAAACAGCGTTTAGGCTGTGCCCTTACTCTGGTGGCTGAGTAGGAAGTAAAGTCCTTAGGATGGGTAAAAAGGAGGAACTGACTGAAGGCTCTTAGGGGTGCGAACAAGCACAGTGTCTGGTTATCACAACTTCCTGACTGAATGTGAGCAAAATGCAAGCCTGGTGCTGTAATCCAAGTCAAAAACTCCTGACTGTAGCGGTCCTAGGCCCTAGGGTGGATCATGCTGTCAAAGTATTTATACCCACGGACCTGGGCTCTGCCTTGGTCAGAGAAGCTTCTTGTCTGCAGTGGTAGCCGTCAAAAGAGGCACGTGTAACTGGTCAAAGTGCCAAGCTAAGAAACCGTGCTCAGTTAGTGCTTGGCCCTAAACAGGGTGCACGGGGACACAGACACAAACACACAATACCCTCCCCCCGCTCAATGTCTACTCTCCCAACCAAGGTTCAGGGAACAGCATGGAAGAGGGGGCAAAATGAATTGTCATGTCCAGAGAACAGGGAACAGGCACTGTCTTCCGGTTATGACACAGCTGTCCCAGTCATGAAGTCACAGCAGCAGCTGTGCTTACCTGCACGTGACCGGTAAGCACAGGATGGCCAAAACTCGGGTACAAACAGGGTAGATGCCCTCTAGACCCCATCCCTGTGGGGCCATTGGACAGATGCCCTTGCTACTGTCAGTGCACAGTTGCCGTGGGAGGGGGAGAATGATTCTCTTCAGAGGGTGTGGCCACTGGTAAAATGCCCACGTGCCATCGGATGCCCTAACGCCCTAAATACGGGACACGGAATTGGGAGGGGAACAGGATGCAGGGGTGTTGGGGAGCTGGAGGTTGGAAACGGGGGTAGGTGTGACTAGATTCCGTTACGTACCTCTACGGAAAGCTCGAGAATTTAAAAACCAAGGTTATATGGCTACCAGTCTTATCTCCGTCCAAAACCTCTGCTTCCCGGGAGCTGGGCGTGGCCGAGGCATCCGGGGCTGTGATGTAGCTGTTATGCCGGGTGGCTGACTGCCGGCCACGCTACTCAAGGAGGCATCTTCCCACACTGGCATGCCTAACCTTGCTCTCAGCTAGGTACTGATGGTGGCAGGGATGTACTGGGTTACCTGGTCCAATTACCCACCCCTTTCTCCCTCTCTCTTTTTAACCTGGTCTCTGGACCATCTGATTAGCTATAGCTGTCTGGTGTAACGGCTCCGGGGCTCTGCCACTCTCGGCTGGGGCTGTGTCTGCCCCCATCTGCTGTACCTTTTACCTCCTGAGCGCATGTCCTCCCACACATCTTGAAGGAGGCCTTGGGATCTTGCCAGTGTCATCAACTCAGAAGTTTCTAGGAAGCCCACCAGGCCCCTCGGGGCCAGGGAGCCCAGCATCTACCTCAAGCCCGTTGATGGCTATCTGGCCTCTGCCTTGTCACTCCCCGTTACCCAGCTTACTCAGGGTGGGTGGCACCAGCCTTCTTGAGAATGAGAAGAGAAGGGATGTCTGTTTTTATTCCCATTCAGGGCCCGGGGTATTAATCTCAGAGGTTGACCGGGCAAGTAAAAGCCCACTCACATTTCCTCGCTGCAGTTGTCCGGCCTCTCCATCCTGTGGCCCGTCTTCAAAAGGTTGAAGAGCCGTTCAGGAGGAATTCCAGGGTAGGGGTTGCCTCCCAGGGTCACAATCTCCCACAGCAGTACCCCGAAGGACCACCTGTGGTGAGGAAGGGAACCACTAAGGAGCTTCCTGGCCCCTGAAGCCTCCTTGGTGGACCCCAGAGGTCTACGTCCTTAACTATCACATCTCCTCATCTGTCTTGGAGCAAGTATGGCTCCCATCTTTAAGAAGTTTGGGACATACTAGTCCACAAACTCATATAAGGCTACCAGTAGCGGAGGCCGTGAGCCCGCCTGTGGGCAGGTTAAGTATCACGGGATACCCTGTCTGAGTCATATTCCTTCCAGCACTCATGGAAGAGGAGCTGGTTGCTGGTCCTACCAGAAGAGAGGATGGAGGTGTGGAGGAAGTAATGGGCAGGAAGCGGGCTATGGCTGTCCCATCCCTACCCCACTTCGCCACATTCCACTGGGCTGGCAGAACTGCTGCCTGGCCCCAACCATTTGCTGAAAGAATAGCTGCTAACCTCTTAGCCTGGGCTCCCTCTGGATGACTAATATTGAAGACAGGTATTTGGAACCAGCAGTGTTCCCTGGCCAGGCAGAAGAGAAAGGCATCATGGTCCAAATCACCCACCCCTGGATGGCCACTTACACATCACTTTGAGTGGTATAGATGTGATCAAAAAGGGACTCGATTGCCATCCATTTGACAGGAATCCGGCCCTGGAGGTGGTGGAAACAGGCATCAATAGGGCTCTAAACTCTGTAACCAAGGTAGTCAGCCATGCCCCTTTAGTCCCAGCTCTGGAGGGAACAGGGGGTACTATGTCTCAGGGACAGACCAACTGTGCACAATCTTGAAGGGGCCATAGCTCCAGCCAGAACCTTTGACTTTGTTGGTGTTTTACTGGGAGTCAGGATAACCACCCACAGCCACAGAGGACAACCCTTTCATGTGCCGCAGCCCTGCCAAGAAATCCACCTGTGGTTGGGTTGCCAGAGCTCTGAGGCACGCTGGGTGGGGCAGACCAGTGCTCTCCAGTGCAGAACCAAGAACCTGCCCTGCAAGGTAACTTTCTTTCCAGCATCCTAAGAACACATGCACCTGGGAATATGTTCCATTTTCCATTCTTGTGGGCCATCATCAAGGCTCATCTGAGAAACCTCAGGGTGCAGGTGGGGGGAAGGAAGTGTCTGCATACCAAAGCTGGGTTTTCCTTCTCTCAGAGTTCTTCCAGAATCTCAGAATGAGCATCCCCTCCCCCACCTATCAGCAATGCTGGCTTCTGTTCTAGCAAATCCTTTCCAACAACAGAATGAACACCTTTACTGTGTCTTGTCCCTTATGCTCACCATTTGCCCTGGATGGCTCAATGAGGAAGCCTTAAGATTTTCTTTCTTTCTGTCTTTTTTTGAGATAGGATTTCTCTGTGTATCCTTGGCTATCCTGGTCTTGCTTTGTAGAGGCAGGCTGGCCTAGAGTTCAGAGATCTGTCTGCCTCTACCTCCCAAGTGCTGAGATTAAAGGCGTGCACCACCACGCCTGACAAGAACTTACCGTTTTTTTTTTTCAAAGCACACATTCAGTTATTTCTATTTGCTTGAACGTGTTTCCTTGTGCTTATTCCCTTAGTGATGTGGGACTGTGCCCCTCAGAGTTCTGTCTGTGGAGCCTGCAGCCTGTGCCCTTGGAGGCTGTCAAAGCCCCTGAAAGCCATAGCTGTACACCTCAACTTTGACAGCAGGCCTCCCTGGAAGATATGTGCACATATGCGTCTGTGTGAGTGTGCGTGTGTACAGGAAGCCTCGGTCACACCCTCTGCCTTGTGGCACAGCAAGCCCTTCCACTTCCTTTATGCAGTTTCTGAGATCTGCTATTACCACAGCAACCCCGGAACAAACACACACAGCGCTCATAACCTGTGGCCACACAAAGGACCTCTAACCCTTACAGCGAGGCTGAAGCAGATGAAGCTGGGTGTGTGCTACCTCCTCATCGGGATCCTGAGCACTCCCGGGAGCTTTTCCTGCCTGTATTGTCACATGGGCGCTTCAGGAGAACAGAGGCCAGGTGACAAGGCAAGGCAGTTACCATGGGAACAGGCTGATGTCAGTGAGTCACAGATGTCTGTATACTGCTTGGACTTGGATCTCAGGACTCTTGAGGTGCATCTCTGGACCCAGTTTTACCCAGATCCCAGTGAGACTCCTATGTAAAGCAACAAATCAAGGACCACCATGCCTCCCTCTACTCTACTTCACCCTCAGGCGCAAAAGAACAGTTACACAGCCAACAGTGGTCTTATTCTATAGAGCTGAGAGAAACTGTGGAGTCTTGTTCTACGGTATTGGGAGGTCTTGGAAAGTGACTCAAAGTACCAAGAAAGGCCCTCAGGAAGATCATATACAAGAGTCTGACTGGGGTCCCGGGGACCCAGGATGGGGACAGATTTCCACTTTCCAATCATTCTGTCAGCTCACTGCCCCTCCTGGAAACTTGCTAGCACACTGGTGACCAGATACCTTGCTTTTCTTCACATAGGAATCTTCTTCATAAACGTCTCGGGACAGCCCAAAGTCAGAAATCTTCATCTTCCGTCCTTCAGCCACCAAGATGTTCCTGGCAGCTAAGTCTCGATGGACTAGCTGTGGAAAGAAAAGCAGCAGGAATCCTCAGACCTGCCATGGTTAAGGCTGGGATGGGCACCAGGGCCAGAGCAGTATCTGTGGGTCTCACCTTCATCTCAGCCAAGTACTGCATACCCCTTGAGATCTGCCAGGCGAAGGAGATGAGGTCACCCATGGTCAGTACCCGTTCATCCGGGTGGTCCAGGGAACCGGAATTGCGGCTGCCTCCACTGCCCACGTAGCCAGGCCCAATCTTGCGGCTGTCACGGAGGAAACCCCGCAGGGAGCCGTACTTGGCATACTCCACAATGAGAAGAAGTGGCCCTGGGGACAGAGAAAGGCAGCCCTGGGCATGGGGTCAGGCCAGCCTGGGTAAGGAAGGTTGCAGGCTCTGTCACCCCAAAGAGAAAGTGGACAGGCAGAGACTGCTGTCTGGGCAGGCAGCAGTCAAGGCTCTATGGATCAGGAAGCTATGGAAGGCCAACTAGCTCCTGGCCCACACTGACCATGTGAACATCAATTCCCTTCTAGGTACAGGGAAGGCCTTCCCCATGGTGTCTGAGTGAGCGGGTACTGTTCTCAGCCTTACCCTGTCATCTACCACAGCCTACACTAGGACTTCACACCTCTCTCCATCCTTGATTCTGTAGTGGTCCTGTAGGCCGGAGAGGAAAAACCAATGGAGGCAGGAAGGCCTGTGCAAATCTCACAGCTCAATATTGGCCCCAGACTAGCTCGGAACCAGTCCATCTCCCTCAACAACTCCTAGGGGCTACATTCAGGCCTATGTCTGAGAGAGGGGAGAGAGAGAGTGGAAAGAAGAGGGAGAGAGGGAGAGAGAGAGAGACAGACAGACAAGTCTATCTCCCTTGTCCTTATCTGAGAAGGTAATAATGCTCCTTCCCTGCAGGGCTGGGTCTGGGGATTGTCTGTGGGTAACAGCATACTCGTTATTCTGTAGGTCCCCAGGAGGCACTGTTTTCATTCTCAGAGCTCCCTACCATGGGTGCCGATGCTACCGACCTGGGCTCATCAGGCCCGAGGAGTGCTCCAGACATCAATCTGCTCAGCTAGCAGATGCAGATACTCTGTAAGAGTGGAAGCCTCTCCAGGAAGGAGAACTAAGCAGAGTGGAAAAAGGACAGCAGAGGGCAGAACAGGGCTCCCGGCCTGGGGCACTGACAACTTGCCCACCCACCCTATCCTCTGGCTAGCCTTACCGTCCTGGCTGCAGGCCCCATACAGCTTGATGACGTGTGGATGGTTGACTTGCTTCAGGAGGTTGAACTCAGAAAGCAGGTCTCGCAATTCACTCTGGGAGGCATTTTCTGAAACACAGCACGTGGAAATGGGGTTTGCCACCGCCCTTGGGATCCCGTGACCACACTGAGTAAGGACCAGGCTGCTATCTTCCTCACAGACACACAGACACATAAAGGCCCTCAGCATCCAGCTGGTTAGGGCTCCTCACAGTCCTCGGTGTCGGCCAACGTGGCTTCCTGCACCCCTGGGATAACAGCCAACGGGCCAAGTTCCATGTCTCCAGGGTCATTGTGTATATGGCAGCACGTCTCTTTAGCTGCTTGTATTCAACAGGGAGAAACCTACAGAGACTCTCCATTCTTTCAGTCTTTCCAGAAAGAAAGAGATCCTGCCTCTGTCCCACACATCTGCTTAGAGAGACAGGTGCTGAGGAAGGTGAGCGCCCTACACTGGGCCCAGATCTCCCGTTCTACTATTTGTCCGACACCGGGTTAGAGTCCTGTGGCCTCTCTTCTACTTGTGTGCTTGGAGCTTATGCTCAGTCACTGTGGGATCCTGCACGATGCACCAGAGTGAAGGCAGCATTAGCACGCTGCAGCACAGCGCACAGCAGGCTGGCACATTTCCCGAATGAGGCAGATACCATACTGCTTTTGAGTGCCTAACTGGCTCCGATAGACTGTGAAGATGGCCGGATTTCAGCAGTCAAATGAACACACATCCTGAGGGCAGTCAGGGCTGGCTCTAGTTCTCAGGAGGTAGTTGAATACAAAGTATCAGGCATGTAGTCAAGTACTCGTCCTGGTTCCTTAGCCAGTGGTGACACACTGTTGCCTCTGGTATTTAAAATTTTTTCTCTCCTTTCCTTTTCCTTTTCTTTCTTTCTTGAGACAGAGTTTCTCTGTGTAGCCTTTGGCTGTCCTGGACTTGCTTTGTAGACCAGCCTGGCCTCAAACTCAGAGATCCACCTGCCTCCACTGGTCCTGGCTGCCTCTGGTATCTACTGGCCTGGGATGAAGGACAGACATGGCTGGGAGATAGGGTTCTAGGCCACAGGTGGGATATAGGCCTATGTAGACCAACAATCTGAAGGTTAAAGCTGGTGTGAGGGGCTGGTGAGGTACCAGCAGCACTCTCGACCATAGCCCCTGTCCACAGCACTAGAACTGAGCTATGCACCAGCCACACAGTCTGGCTGCCACAGGGCCCTCAGGTCACAAACATGACCCTAACGAGGGCTGCCCACCCAGGACAGCCACAGCCTCTGGCTAGAGTCACATGCCCTGTATAAGAAAGGTATGGATGCACATGAGAGCCAGACCCAGGACATGACTGGTCATGGGGACAGAGAAGGCTCAGGGGTTGTTGGAATGGGGGACAGTTTTTACTAGGACCCAGTGGCCTTCCAGATGAGAGAAATGAATTGGGATGCTGGCAACTATCAGTTCAATCCAACCCCAAAGGGCTTTGAAACTTTTAAAAACCCTGGGCTCTTTCCTGACATGGCGCAGAAGTGGTACCCAGCATCTTCCACTAGGGCAAGACCCTCACTGTCCCTCTTCAGCAACACAGGCTGCATGTCTGGGGGTGGGGGTGCTCAGACTGCAGCTACCACAGAACAGCAATGAGGCTCTGCAGGGGAATCTCACGGAAGCAGGGCTGCAGCCACCCACACATGCAGCCCCTGGAGATACCTTTCAGCATCTTCACGGCCACTGTGGTGTATCCTGCCCGGCCTTTCAGACGGAAGGCTGTGGCCTTGACGACTTTTCCAAACTCGCCTTCTCCCAGGGTTTTGCCCAGAACCAAGTTCTTTCGTGGAAATTCCCACTTTGGATCCTCCTGTATTGGGGTAGAGACAGGTCATTAGCAGAGCAGGGAGAAAAGTGTGAGGAGTAAAGTTGACCAAGAAGGCAAGGCCATTAAATACTAACTCCTCATCTTGCTTTGGCAAGGGCCAGCATGCAGAGCTGGTCATCTCCCAAACCACACTGGCCATCTCATAGCTCATCCACTGGGAACACCACGGCCAGGACAGACAGGAGTCTCCAGGAAAAGGGCCTAGACTCAATTCTTGACTCACCCCGACCCCTGCTGCCACAAATAACCTGGGACCAGTTAGGCTCAAGTTCTTACCCTCAAGGCCAGCTGGGGCCTGACTAGACAGTAGCCCAGATCCAAGTCTTCTATGACTCCCCCCCCCCCCACCCAGGAACTCCTAAAGGACTGAATGGGCACCTGCAGCTCAGGATGCTTCTCAGCCCAGAATTCCCCCACAGTGGAAGCATTCAGAGCAACCTCCCTGTGTGGCTTCCTGCTAAAGAGAGGCACCTCTGACTCCCAGGGAAACGCTCACCTCGAGTATGAGGCAGATACCCCTCTCATGGCCTGTCCTGTGCACCCCAATTTGCTATACCCTAGCTCTGGCCGGCACACTGCCCTCCCGGTATCCCACCCAAACCCCTTGCACATATCAAGCCTCATCACGACCATTCTGGGTAAATTCCTAGACTCCTGCCCACCAAGTACAATCCTGTAAGGAGTCGACCCCGTGACGCTGGCACCACACTAGCTGCCCATCACCCCATGTGTCCTTGAGTTTGACCTCACACCTTTGGTTACAAGGCTCTTTCAGGCTTCCTCAACCACAGAGATGGCCCAGTAAGGACACGTGGCCATACATGAGATGTGGAGATAAAGTCTCCTTTGAGTACACAATCACATTCTAGCAAGCTCCTGAGTGATCTTGGTATTTTCTGAAGCTTCCTGAGTGTGAAGAAGGCATGGACATCCCTAGTGTCACAGCCCTCCTACCATACCTCCACTGCAATCATTAGGAACATGTCTGAGGCCAGACTATGCTAGACCTCCTGCCATACCTCCACTGCAATCATTAGGAACGTGTCTGAGGCCAGACTATGTTAGACCAGACTATGCTAATAAGCATGTGAAAAATGGTACAAACCTACTCCTTTAAAAACCTATGAAAACCCGTATCCTTACTGTTTTGTTTGCTTGTTTCAGCCCAGTCACGAACTTGTGATCTTCTTGCTCCATCTTTCCCAAGTGCTGGGATTATGGGAATAGGCCATAGTACCCAATTCTCCATGTTTTATGTCAGAGAAATCGGGCTGTGTGGTTGAGTCGTGGGGCTTATGTTTGGAGCTAGTGGGTACAGCTGGAGGGTGCCAGGCTAACTCTGGAGGAGACAGGTCAGAGTAGTGTGTCTGTACCCTCCGGGACATCAGGATGGCATAGCAGCCTCGCTGTGCTATCTGGGTGAAGGAGAGCTCTGGTGGCTTATTCCAGAAGCCTGCGGTAGATCCCAGCTACTGCCACGAACAGGGACCACACACTAGGAGACAGCAGCGGTGCATCTATGATGGGCTTCTTCGGCCTTGATGGAGGGGAGGAGGGCTGGGTGTCACTCGAATAGGCCCTTGGGAAAGTGGGACTTCCCAGCCACCTAAGGCCACTTCCCAGTCTGAAACAAGAGACTGCAGAGGGCCCGTGGCCACTGGGTGTCCCCACAGGTGTCCGCATCATAGCCCCTCCACAGGGGCTTACTCTGTTCATACCCCTTGTCTCCAAACACCGTCCCCAGCTGTACCCAGAGTACCCTGGCTTCCGAATCCTGGACAGCCGAGAGCAGGATGCTGAAGGGGCAGGTCTACCTGAAGGTGCCCCAGGGAAGACATGACCAGGGCCGGGAGGTTTCCACAGTTGTGTGACTCTGAGCAGCAGCACCCACAGAAAGGTACATGGCTGGGGCTTTCCTCTGGGGCCTCAGTGCCTCCTGCCTCCACGCTGGGGGACGTACCGTGTACACGGCTGCCGCCCTGGAGTCTAGACCAGCACGTCGTCATGATCTCCGCACCCTCCACCCCTCCCCGCCTCCGCCGTCACCCTGCTTCTCAATTAAGAGTAGCCTGTTGAAATGCTATCCAACAGGGGCCTCTTCCACTGTTTCTACTCTGAGATAGAACACTTGGCCTCTGCGTGTGTGCGCGTGTGTGTAGGACTCACTGCTCCTGTCCCTTGGGGCTTCTGCTCACACCTCCCCTGCTAGGTTGGGCCAAGCTCATTTTCCTGGGACAAGGCCTACCTCTCAGATGCCAGCCCAGTCCCATCCAAATCAGTACCTGTCACTTCCTTCCTCGACAGTGCCTTCACAGACCAGCTTCCCACTGGAAGGTGACTGTATGAGGGCAGGGATCCCCCCTGCCCTTGGCCCTACATGGCAGGAGATGCAAGCAATGCCCTCTCAACCACCTGTGGGTACCCCAAACAGTAAAGAAAGCCCGTGTGGCCACGTAGCTTCCAACACTGTCCACCTACCGGGATCTTGAAAGCATCCACAGAGACCTGGTTCTCCATGGAATCCAGTGAAGGCCGGCGAGTGCCTGAAGAGGAGTAACTGATGGGGAAACCCTGGGCTGGCCGGCAGAAGGTCATTTCCGCCGAAGCAATGGGCGGCTTGTGCGCGTGCTTGTGGTAGCAGTGGATGAAGAACGTGGCCAGGAAGACGAAGATGATGATGAGGGAGAAGAGGACGACGGCAGGTATGATCACGGTGCGGCACAGCTCACCACACAATGGGCCTGCGGCGGGGCAGTGACGGGTCTCAGCAGCTGGGCAGGGACTGCACCACCATGACGTTGTGAGACGCCCCTGACCAACCGGGTACAGGTACTGCTGTGCTGCCTCTCCTAGACCACTGCTCACCCCCCTCTCAGGGTAGAAACAGTTGCATGGAGCCTGAGCACCCTGCCTGGGTCAGCCGGCAGAGGCGGTGTGCCGGCCACACCAGCCATACTGTTTTCCGGTCGCAAATGTCTGAATGGCCATTATAAAATGGTAGGAAGAGAGAAGAAAGGATCAAAGGCTCTGGACGGAGGACCCTAAAGTGACCCAATACCGGGAGAAGTCCACAGTGCCTGAGGCCCAGCAAGGGCCTGTCCAGGGAGTCGTCTGACCAAGTTACTTGGTAGAACTGCTTTTCTGACCGTCTGTCACTGAGAACTTGTGACTGGGAAATGTTTCACAGGGACTCTGACCCCCATTCGTGGTTGCACCAATGGGTAAGGGGCCCAGAGAGATGGGAGGAGCTTCCCGGGGCCTGACTAACCTCCATCACCAGGGATGGAGCTTCCGGACCTCACCAACGTTCTCTAACCTCCCTTGAGGGTTTGGGGAGGCCTGTTTGGGGCACTCCTTACCCTGACTGTCCTCAGGCTCGCAGAAACACTTCTTTTCGTCTGGGAAGCAGTTGCAAATGCCATAGCCGGCTTTGATCCCCCGGAGCTCCCCTCGCTCGTGGCCCCCAACAATGCTGCCACCTGAGGACACACGTGGCCTGGTCAGTCTCCTGGTGTGGCCCGACACCTCAGAGTCCTCAGATTGTGACTGGCCTTCTCAGCTTGGTGTCAGGAGCTCAGGACAAGTGAGGGCTGAGAAGCCCTTTCACCTGGACAGGGCATTTAACACACTGACCCTCCACACTGGCTGTGGAAGTAGGGGGAAGCAAGACTGTCCAGTCATCGCTGAGGTGCCAGAAGGCATCACCCATGGCTAGCCCCCGGTAACAGTAAAGATGGTGGAAACAGACCAAAAGGAAGGTGGGCCTCAAGCCAGCAGAACAGGGACTGCAGCTCAGAGCCAGCCAAGGATAGCTAGGCCAGGCTACAAGAGCCCAGTCTTGAGGAACACAGCAACCGTTTAAATGAGATGTCAGGAGGGGTGGCTTGACACATCCTGCTTGGCTGAACTTTGTATTACCCACTGATCCTTCTTCGGTGCTAAGGATGAGCCGTTGGCCCCACGAAAACTAAGCTTGTGCATGGCCATGATGGAATACCCCAGCCTAGCTCGGGGCATCCAATGGGCAAATGTGGCTCCAGACTGTGTGCAGGTGGGCGCCAGGGTTCCCACGATCTCTGCCGCTAGCTCCCTTGCCTCTGCCCTTCCCTGTACACTGACAAAATGCACCCCCAAGAGCCTAAGCGTGGGCTTACTGAGACAGTCCTGGGGGCAAATGTTGATATCCCGGCTCTCCACAGAGTCACAGTGGCCGTCAGGGCAGGTCCTGGTGCTGGGGGAGCAGGTGGAGAAGTTCCTGGTGATCCCTGTGACGGGGCACATAGCAGGCTGTTACCCTACGTGGCACATCCCATCACGGTCTGGCTGTCAGGGTCCCCTGGCCAACCCTGCCTCTCTCTCGAGACGGGGGTGAAGGAACAAGCAGAGTGACCCCGTATACACCTCATATACCACCTGAGAAATGATGAGACAAGAAGGGGTCCCCAAGGGCTGAAGCATTGACAGCCTTCCTCTAAGGAGGCCGCTTAAAGACAAGGACCTGTCAAAGCTATACTATCAATGGGAGGCAATGCTACGCTCACCCACAGTGGGGCAGACACACCTCCTGGCTGAGGCTTTCTGGAGGACCACTCTGTCCTCTGGACATCCCGGCTCTAGTATAGACCCTTCCAAACCAACCCAGAGTGAATCCAGCCAAGGAGCCTCTAGTTTCAAGGTGGCAAAGCCCCTGTGACCCGATGCCCTGCCTTCTCTGCTGGCACTGGTTCCACAAGAGGGACGAGGTTCAGGAGACAAGGATTGAGGAAGCTCATTACGGGGACCGGCCGACCTCGGAGGAACCCTCATCAAGTAACCATCATCATTCCCGACGGCAGGCAGTACGGACACCGCCCCACCTCTCCCCCACCCCGGCAGCTCCTGGGCCCTACCTTTGCCATCTCCCTGGCGCCACTCGCATCTGCCTGTTGGAGAGCCGAGGCCACCACACTCCTCACACTCAGGTCGTCTCTTGTTGACTGCGCAGGACCTGGGGCAGCCCACTTCTTCAGCAATGGCTGCGAGTGACGGACAAGAGAGGGTCACAGGGGCTGGTGTGCACCCCGTCTCCAGACTGCCCACACTGATGAAGAGTGTAACGGTAGTTCCGCTGCCTCCCGGGCGAGGCTTCAAGGGTTTCAGGCTAACTAGAAAGGACTGGATGAAAGGGGTTGAGGGCGCATGCCTGTAATCCCAGCACTCTGGGAGGCAGAGGCGTGGATCTCTGAGTTCAAGGCCAGCCTGGTATACCAAGAGAGTCCAGGACAGCCAAGGCTACACAGATAAACCTTTTCTTGAAAAACCAAACCAAACCAAAATAAAACAAAAAGGCAGGGGTGGGGTGGGGACTGAGGAACCAGAGTCAGAAGCAGAATAAGCAGATAAAGACAAAAGAGACGTGAGTGACCACGACATAGGACACACGGGATGATGGTCACACCAGAGTTTCAGAGACACAACCAACACATGTTCTCTGTGATCATCCGTAATGTCCCACCCGTGCACAGAGCCCGACACTCACATGTCCCCTCCACCGTGACGAGCAACGGAGCCTGGGCCTGCCTGCGGGTCTGTCGGTCAGTGGCTACCACCGTGTACTGAAGCTCGGTACATTCAGGTTGCCGCAGGGCCTCCACGTCATTTACAAATAGGGTCCCTGAGGTGTCCTCGGTGGAGGCGACCACGCCCAGAGCACTGCAGTTGGTGTTGGAGGGCTGCAGCTTATACTGGATGTTGACGCCGCTGAACTCCTGGCAGTTTTCCACACAGACTTTCCCGATCTGGAGGGGGTGGGGAGGAAGGAGAGGAAGGAGAGGAAGGAGAGGAAGGAGAGGAAGGAGAGGAAGAGGAGGAGGAGGAGGAGGAGGGGGGGGGCACCGCTACCCCTTAGCCAGCAGCTAGAGAGGTTCTTGGGTAGACTAACATGGTCCTCAAGCAGTCTGGATGGCAGCCCTTTCTCAATGCACAGCGTTCTACAGACTCGGAACCTACGAGCCCACCTTCCTAGCTGGCCTTTGGCTTAAGGGCACCAACTCAACAGCCACACCACTGGGAGTCAGACGTGACGGCCACAGTCCCTGTGCGTGTCTCCCGACTGTTAGAGCACTGTGCCCTGGCTGTGTGATTTGCAATGCTGTCACCTGTCCCCCTTGAGGTCAAGAGGCCTCTTTAGGGGTTCCCGGAATGGGACCCCTTCTGGGTATGCCTGGCTCGGGAGCCATCTACTGGACCTTTACCTCAAGAATCCAGATTGGACCCTTCCGAGGCCCCACCCATGCTACCTCTCCACTGAGTGGGGGAGGGAGGAGGTGCTACCCACACGCAGTTCTGCCTGCAATCTTGGGGCCCTCCAACCTCAAGCCACGCCGTGGGCCAAGGCTCACCTGGGCATAACGGCGAGCCCTTCTAGCCACTGGGAAGGAGTAGGCGCTGGGTAAGCTCAGGGTGACAGGCAGCACAGACACGTTGAAATGGAGGAGGAGGACACCCGTCCCCGGCCCCTGGAAGTCTGAGTCGTTGACCAGGACCGCCAGCTGCAGGACTCTGCTCTCCGAGATGGGGAGGCTGCGGTTGAGAACCAGCTCTGCAGGCGGGCGCACAAAGAGACAAAACCAGTCACTAGGCTCCAAGATCAGGCCCTACGCCATACACCACACACACATATCAATATACAGCCCTGCACACACACACACACACACACAACTTTCAAATATGTGCCCCGACAGCAGGCCTGGTGAGCAGTCTTACAATACGGATGTTTAAAAGCTGAGACACTCTACTGAGCTAGAGCTCTGGGGTGTGTAGAAGTAGCACATATAAATGTGCTAGCGTGCAGGATGTTTGCATGGTGTTTGTATGCAAAGACTATGTGTGGCCCGGGATGGCGATCTATTTTGGCGCGTATGGAACGCGTGCGCAGTCTACGTGGTTTTCATGTGCTGCGTGTGGCGTGTCCCGAGTGTCCTCAAGCTCTGTGACTGTTGGCTCCTTACTGTAATTGTGCATGGTTGCCCGCACGGAGTTGTTGTTGGCCTGGGCCACGGTCTCATTGGGTGTGTGCTCCACCCGGAAGGCCTGCTGGGCCCAGGAGTCCCCTGAGAGTAGTGTGCTCGTGTACCGTCTCACCAGCTCCCCCGACGCCGGCACCACGTCTGCGTCAAACACTTGCAGAGTGGCCACGACAGTGCCCTGCAGATAGCAGAGAGTGCCAGTTAGCGCCAGTTAGCTCAGGGATAGTCAGAAGACCAAATGACCCAGCACAGCCCAGAACCAAAGCAAGTACGTGTCGTCAGAACCAGTCCTGGATGATCAGAATTGACTGTTTGCCCTCGAGGCCTCAGTGAGAGCTGCGAGCCCTTAAAGCCACAGGGCAAGCTGGGTTACTCTAAGGTTGTCCAATCCGATGTTACCCTACCTACTTTGACTCCCTAGGAAGCCTGTACCTGGTTCCTCAGAGGGGAAAAAAAACCCACTTCCTTCCTACTGAGCCTAGGAGCAGGCTGCAGAGTGACCTGATGCCCAGCAGGTGGCAGTAGCATGCCGCCTAGGCTGGTCCAGAGCAGCATGGGTGAGGACATCTCAGAATTATCCCCTGGCTCCTGACTGCCTCAGACATGCTCTTGTGACAGGTTGCCAGCAGAAGGAAGTACCTCCCTGCTTGCCAGGTCAGGCGAGTCAGAATGTTCTCCCCGATGCTCTCCCTGGGGCCCTTGGCCTGATTAGACACAAACTAAGCAACCCAGGCTCAGGCCTTCAGTCAAGAGCTGGCTATCTGGCTGGCAGTCAGCCAAACGGACCAGACAAAAAGGACAAGTGGAGAGCCACGTGACTGGATGGTGAGCAGAACAGCTGAACAGATCGAGGACAGACTGCCGACGGAGACAAACACCGAGAAGGCCCACACAGGACAGACAAGCAAGCACATGGACAAACCTCCTTCCGCTTGAACTCCACCACAGCGCTGGCAGTATCCACACCTCCGGCGAAGGTGGGCGCCGAGTCGTCCTCATCATACACGGTCACTGGGAAGGATACAGTCACCTTCTCTTCCTTGGCACTCGTGTTCACAATGCACTCGGCCTTCAGCACGTACTTCTCCTGAAGCTCCCGGTCCAGGGCCCAGCGAGTGCTCACCTCCATGTTCCGGTTGCAGTGGAAGGGCAGATTCTCCCCTGTCACCAAGCAGAAGGGAATCCCGCATGACTGCTGGGTGGGGGAGATAGAGTGTGGCTTGTCTTCTTTATGATTCTGCCCTGAGTGCTTGCAGACAGTGAGGCTTCTGGCACCCTGGTGGCTGTCTGTCCCTTCTGCCTCCATGGGGGATGGCATTCATTTCTCAAATGTAGGCTGCTGGAGGTCTGTTTTTTCTACTTTTGGTTGTGGACAGACGGGTGGTGACACAGGGTCAGGGGTCTGCGGCTGGGGGTCAGGGAGGGGGGTCCAGGAAGGCAGAGGCTATAGGCAGAGGGTCAGCTCCAGGTACTAGCTGGTTTACGAATGTCAGTGTTTTTTTTTTTTTTTTTTTTTTTTTTTTAAACCACAGATGTAGTATCTGCTCATTTTTAGACAACGTGAGAAACATCCCAGTTTACCTTGAAAACAAATACTGGACATCTGGGGTATGACTGACATTAAAACTGGTATTTCTGGAAGTGAGGCCTGCATTCCTGCTGTATACCCCCCAGTGGGTGACCCGGGGCTGGTCCATCTCTTCTACTGCAGACAGGATGTCAAAGGGTGCAGGTCCACTTGTGCGCAAGGGCCAGCTCCCCAGGCAAGGTCTGCCGTGCTTGCTGACACTAGCAGAATCCTTCAAACTGGGTTCAACACCCCACGTCTAGCTCCGGAAGAGTCCACGAGATTCCAAGAATCCTGGAGAGCATGCCAGGAAGTTCCCGGATTCTCATGCCGATTCCAGCCTCATGCCAGCCCATCCTTCCACTAGGGGGTCTCCCCTCGTACCTCTTATTCTCTTAACTCCACCAGATACTAGCCTGATCCTAAACCATACCCAACACAGGAGTCCAACTAAGCCTTTCAGATGCCAAGTGGAGACTTTGCATACCTTCCCCGCCTTGCCTTCCACAGCTCCCCATGCTCCAGGGAGCAAAACTCTGAAACGTTCCCGAACAGAACTAGCCTGTCCCTGTTGGCCTCTGGTCCTTCCAGTGGTGAAAGGCATTCCAACCACAAAGAGGCATATGCTGGAGCCTTCTGTGGCTAGAGCCATCTGGCACCAACCCATCTTGTTCAGTGGCCCCTGCCTTTCTGTTCTCTCGGCTTTTCTTTGCTCCTCACTCCTTCCGGAAACCATCCAGTTCCCCTGACACACTTACGGGCTCTATCTCTGTCCTCGAGGTGACCAGAGGTTTCAGGCATGTTAAGATGGTGGCCTGTTTCCTAACCTCCTTCAGCAGTATTCGGGCTGATGACAGACACCCAAGAGATATTTCTGGAGTGTTAAACAGGGGCAGAACGGACACGTGGCTCACCTTAAGGGCTTGCAGCACTATTGTCTGCTGTGCAGCAGGACAAAGGAACAGCCCCACAAGGCTGGAACTCACCTTCCAAGAGCCTGTATTCCACCCTGATGTCGGGGCAAAGGAACTTCACAGGCAACAGGTTAAACTGGTAGAAGGTGCCAGGGGGCCTGTTCTCCCTGATTCGGAACGACAGTCCTGTCTCGGGGATGCAGAGATCCTGGGATGTGAGGGAGCTACAAGCTGGGAAGGAGTCATTGATGAAGGAGAAGTACACACGGGCACAGCCTGGCCAATGGCATTCGCCCTCTCGCTGGGTTGTGGACCCCAGGAAGACCTGGAGGAAGATGGTGAGCAAGGGGAAGCCACCGTCTGCGGGGAGAAAAGGAGACAGCCACTTTTCAGGTGAAGAGGGAAGAGGACAGGCAGGAATACCAGGGTCCACTGTGGCCCACAAGCCTCGGCTGCTTCCCGCCCACCTCTGCTACAAGGTGCGGAGGCCTGGACAGGAGCAGCCTTTCTATCTGCCTCTCTTATCGTTCAGGTTTCTGTTCAAACGATCTCTCTCCTAAAAGAAGTGCTCAGGCCCTGGGGCTAGTGTTCCCTGGTCCCTTCCAGGTGGGTGAGCTCACGGTGTAAGCTCCTGCAGGCTCCTGGCCAGCTGTACTCCCTGTCCACTAACCATCAAGTGCTTTCCCATAGACACACCCATGCAGACTTCACCAACATGCAGAGGAAGACTTTTCAGTTAAGTTCTATCAATGAGGCATCACATCCTAGTCTAGCAAGGGATAGGCTTTGGCTGAGGCAGGCATTTCCCTGGGTCTCCACCTCAGGCCCGGCTGCTTTTCCTCAGCCTACATTGGATTATCGTCATACCACTGTCCTAATTGCTGTGTTGATTCTCTTCTAACCTGAGAAGGCAGCGTGTAAATATGAGTGGTGTAGGTCCTCAGGAAACTGTTCACAGCACATTCCACCCACCCTGGCCCTCTCCACCAAGGGGCTCTCACTCCTGTTTCCCACTAGGGCTCAGGAGGAAGAGGGAAAGAAGGCACATGCAAACCAAAGGGCACCTCAGAGCACTTCCTCCAGGAACTGTCTATACCAGTGGTTCTAAGCCTCCCCGATGCTGCAGCCCTTTAATCGTGTTATGGGGATCCCCAGCCATAAAATTATTTCATTGTTACTTCATAACTCTAATGTGGCTGCTGTTATGAACCTTAATGTATGAATCATGATGTATAATCATAATCTGATATGCATCCCTGTGGGGTTGCGACTCACAGGTTGAGAACCACTGGTCCCGACTAGACTGTCAGGGAACTGCCCATCTTGGGTTGCCTCCCTGGCTTACCATCCTGGCTGTGCCTGTCCAATAGATCAGTTAGTCTACATTCTGGCGATGGAGCTCACTCTGTATTCACAGTATCCTACACTGCCTCTTACGTGTGGATAGGACCCTAAGGATGAGTGTGGCCTTGCCTCAGAGGGGGTTCTGGGAGGTGTGAGCTACCAGGTACATACCATCACCACCTCAAGCCACACAAGCCACTTAGATCCCCATTCACCCCACTACAGTTAGCATCCTTATGTGGCCCTGAATGCAGGTCCAGCCTTAGCTCTGTGCTGCAGGCTAGGTCTCCATTGCTCTGCCTGCCTCCTGGACAGCTCAGCCAGCCTGCTGCAGACAGAGAGGACATGCTCCCTGCGAGCTGGAACTCTTTAGCAAGTTCTGGATCACTAGCTAAGTTAACCCCCTGGGGTTTTTCCAGCCCCTCAGAATCTCTCTCACAATCTGCACACCCTTATCTCCCCACTGCAAACACTCTGCTTCACACACACAGAGCATGTGTGTGCCAAGTCACCTCCGTGGTTCTCCCAACTCCCAACAGCCTCAGGAGGTCGGGAAGTAATTAATGCTCCCAAAGTCATTCGGGTCCCTCATTAGCCTGGCTATAAAGCAGTTGCCTTCACCTTGGCCCTTATACCCTTGTCCACAGCAGCCATCCCAGGCTTCAGACTAGCAGCCAGCTGAGATGAGGACAGCTGGAGGGCTGGACCGGGGTGTGTGTGTGTGTGTGTGTGGGGGTGCCAGGCTGTTCTCTTACTGCGGATGCTGAGCTGTTCCCAGGAACTGCGGTCCAGGCTCTGGTTGAGGTAGAGAAGGCCAGTGTCCTCACGGATCCGGATCCAGTCATTCTCCTGCAGCCGTGTGCGGTACACACCATAGAGGTGCTGGCCCAAGCGGAAGCTGGGCACTTCCCCAGGGGCATCCCGGAGGGCATGGACATAGAGCAGAGGTGTGCCAGCTGGCTGGTCCACATACAGTCTCTCCCAGTAAGCATCCCTTGAGAAGTACAGGCCCAGCGGGGCTGCAGGAGACACGAGGGTGTGAGCGGGGGTGGGAGAAACAGCTTCTTCATGGACAAAATAAAAAACAACAGGAATTAATTTAAAGTCCTAATCTTGGCAAGAATTTCTCCAAAGAACGTGAACACAGCTAACATGGCTGATAGTCGCACCACATTAAAGCAAAGAAAGAAAAAGAAGGGAAAAGGAGAGAAAGTACAAAACAGTCGCAAAATAGTTCTGAGCCACCCAAGTGTGAGAAGCCCTGGGAATCGTACATGATCCAGGGGCTCGTCAGGGAGTTCAACAAACCACCTGGAACCAGAGGACATTTCCAAGATACGGGATACTGCCAGATAAGCAGGGCAGGCAGCAGTCACCAGCATCAAAGAGAGCACTGTGTAAAAAAGCAACTGATCGTTATCACACTATGCTCTTATACATGACCCAGCAAGTCCACTCCAGTTATCGAGCAGAACTTAAACCACCCATCCAATCCATCGACTAACCTAGTATTAAACGGCGGAACTACTCATGGCAACCAAGATCTGGAAACACGGATGTCCTTCAGTGGGTATTTAGATATGCAAATTGGCACGGCCATACCACAGAACCCCACGGCAGCAATGAAAAGGGATGGACCATTGCTACCCATGGCTTCCCAGGTGGGTCTCACACACATCCAGTCCAGCTGAAGCAGTCAGGCAGAACTGGATGGATTCTCAGTGGGTTTCAGGTAATTAATTGATTGGGTTGTACTGCTGATTTTTGTCTATGTCCGATAACTTTCATGACAGTGTTTTAAATAGGAAGAGCTCTTAAAAAGCCTTGTGCACACTGTTGGTCAGAATTTGAGATGGTACAGGTGCTACAGAAAACATTCGGGCCTCTCAAACTACTTAACACACACACCCCACATGATCCAGAAGCTTTGTCTCAGAATCATGCCAAAGAACTTAAATCCTAGAGGTTTACACAGCCTTTTCACGGCAGCATTAATCACAACAGCCAAAGGGAGATGAGTGCTACTGCCCACGGATGGGCACACAGGTCATTCAGCCTTAATCTAAAGTGAGAAAGATTCTGATCCTGTGCTGGCTGCTTTTATGTCGGGATGAACCAACAACAGTCACCTGAGAGGAGGCAACATCAACGGAGGAAATGCCTCCATAAGATCAGGCTGGAGGCAAGCCTGGAGGGCATTTTTTAAATTAGTGATTGATGGGGGGAGGGCCCAGCCCATTGTGGGCACCATCCCTGGGCTGGAGGTCCTGGGTCCTCTAAGAGAGCAGGGTGAACAAGCCATCAGGGGCAGGCCAGTAAGCAGCACCCCTCCCAGGGGCTCTGCAGCAGCTCCTGCCCCCAGGTTCCCGCCCTGACGTCACATTCAGTGACGGAGTCCGATGCAGAGCTGTGCATTTTGGCCATGGTGTTTCATCATGGTGACACTAACCCTCACTAGGACAAACGCCATTTGCTGGAGATGTGGCTCGGCCGTTAAGGGTTGCTTCTTGTCAGGCGTTTATTCCCAGCAACAAGAAGACGACACAGACCTAAGCTGCTTATCTGAGCCACAGGTGGAGGCCAGGGAGGTTTTCCTAGGGAGCATGGAACAGGAGACAGTGTCAGCCAGGACAGGGGCAGCCTGGCCTGGAAGGCAGAGAGGACTGAAGAAGATGGTAAGTTCAGGAAAGAGAGAGCCGGGAGAGGCAGATGCCAGCAAGAAGTATAGCTTCTCAGGGCTAAGAGATCGCCACCTCAGAACGCCTGCCAGAAATGACAGGCTGAATCAGCTTGCAGATTCTAGGCGAAGACCAGGAACCAAATCTGAGGTGACAAAGTACGCCGTGTCTGGTAGGGTGGGGCACTGGCTTGGGCAAGGACTTTACATTCTTTGTCTTGGCTCCCAAGGAGATTAAGCCCTTCCTCTCCGAACGGTTGTTGGGAGCATAATTTAGTTGATGGACTTGGAAGTTCTAAGAACAATGGCAGCTGCCCGCTGCCATTCCTAGCATCTCCATCCCCACACCTGTATCTCCATCGCCTATCACCACCGTCAGAACCGTAACCACCACCACAATCATAATCATCACATCCATCTTTTTCCTACAACCATCAGCATCACCTCCAGACCCGTGGTTCAGAGTCCACACACAGCTTCAAGTCTGGATCTCCGCTGATGTAGAGCAGAGGACTCAGTATGTGGCACCTCCTTGGTCACCTGTCTTACTGGGCCTCCACAGTAGGGTGGCTGTAGCCTGGAAGAGCGGTTGACAGAAGAGGAGTCACGGTATGGGGATGGGGCTGCTCCTGGTCTCAGAGACTCTGGTTTCCCTGCGCTTCCAGGCGTGGGACTCACATGTCCCATCTCCCAAGCTGGTGCTGTGGGAATCATCTCTCACGATCATGTTAGTCTGCTCCCAGCGCTGAGCCCTCCAAGTCTCACAGCACTCTCCTTTGGGTTGAATGAGGATCTACTGCAAAGCTGAGGCTAGGGATCAATTGGGCACTGGGCTAGCCAGACCCCAGAGCTAGACGGGGCACTTCTTCTCCAAGGAACGTGGGCACCAGGCTTTACCCAGACTGCATTGCAGCTAGCACCTGCATTTCCATGCCCACCCAGACCAGCTGCAGTGACCTCGATGAGATGAAGGACGCTCTCACCCAAATGTGACTTCCCAGCTGCTACTGACTTAATGGCGGGCCTTGCTGGCAGTTCCTTCCGGCTTCTATTCAAAGGAAACTGCCAATTAGGTTACAATTAATTTCTTTCCTAAAGCAAGGCCTGGCCACCCAAGTGGCTTGTGGATGAGCATGTGTGAGTGACGAGGCCCCTCTGGCTCCAGGGCTCTCTCTAGTGCTTTGCAGCACCAGTTAACTGACTGCTGCTCTTGCAGCTGGGCCGAGGAGGCTCTACTGGCTTTGACCCTGACGACTCCCAACTGTGCAGCTGTCCCCACATAGCCAGCAGAGCACTATGACTCAGAAAATGTCCCCCGTGCTGAGAGACCACCCCATACACCTCAGAAGCTCCTTTTTGACACTCCATCCCAACACCCATTCAATACTCAGCAGTGGGATTTCCACAGTGCTGTTTTAAGCACATCCAAATACTTAATGAATATTAGAATTCCTGTCTCATTGAGCAATAAACCAAGACAGAAAATGGCCCCAGGCCACACAGAGTGATTTAGGACTCAGCCAGAGTCTGGCCCAGGCTCCTTTGTCCAGTGACAGCTGTTCACATAGTGCTTTTGGGAAACGAGGTCACAGAGTCCCAGCATCAAGGGCCATCCAGTTATATGGCAGCTGTCGTACCAGCCTGAAAAATGCCACTGTAGAGATCCACCCACGTCTTCCCAGTTTCTCCTCCAAAAGGCCGGTGCTCCTACAAATTTCCTTGGCATTTAATAACTGGCTCTTTAATATTTCGGTGGGATGGAGTCAGGGCAGGAGTCCCAAAACAAAGTGAGGGCTCAGGAAGGTGAGTCCAGGTGGAGTTTGCTTGGAGGTGTTGTGTGTGTGCGTGCGTGTCCCATCCCACCAGGGATTCCTACATGGAAAGAGAAACCACAGGCACAGAAGCCCATATTAGGCTCTCATGACTCCAACTCACTAGACATTGGAGCTTTGCCTGAGTATCGTGGAGTCCTCCTCTCAGGGCCACAAGGTCCGTGTCCCACTGAACATGTCGGATGGTGGAGGCTGTAGTCAGATAGGGAGCGATTTCTGTTTCCTTGTGCACATGTGCACCTCTTCTCTGGATGGGGGTGTGACTGGCTGCTTTTGTGTGTCAACTTGACCCAAGCCATAGTCATCAGAAAGAAAGGAGCCTAAGTTGAGAAAATGCCTCCATGAGATCCACCTGTAAGGCATTTTCTTAGTTAGTGATTGATGGGGGAGGGCCTAGCTCACTATGGACGGTGCCATCCCCTGGGCTGGTGGTCCTGGGTTCTAGAAGAAAAGCAGGCTGGGCAAGCCATGGGAAGCAAGTTAGTAAGCAGCACCCTCCATGGCCTCTGCATCAGCTCCTGCCTCCAGGTTCCAGCCCTGCTTGAGTTCCTGTCATGACTTCCTCCAATGATGGACTATGATGTTGAAGTGTTAAGCTGAATAAACTCTCTCCTCCCCAACCTTTTTGTTTCATGGTGTTTCATCACAGCAGTAGAAATCCCGACTAAGACGGGGTGGCAGATAAAGAAGTCCCAAGCATCTGCTCTGGAGGAGAGTGGAGCGACAGAAGCTGGGAACCTCACAGGAGCCATTTCTGGCTCCAGAAGGACCCAGAGCCACACACTGGAATCCCGGGGTCTCTAGTAAGGCAGAACAGGGCAGTGATGGACGTCCATCACTTGTACCTGGACCTTGGAATCTGTGGTCGAAACCCCAAGTAGGAATGCAGAAGGGAGGCCACTGCCTCTGCAACACAGCTCTTGCTGGCAGCATGACATCACAGTAGCAATTACTGTAATCAACTTAGACCAATCTGCCCAGTTATTTTTAGTCTAGATAGAGGCAGAGTGAGAGGGGCAGCCCTGGCTTTCCAGGCTGCCAGTTCCCTTGTTGGGTGTGGGGCGGGTCATGCTCTCTACCATCTTCCCCTTTCCCAGTAAGGTTTCAGGCGTCTGCTTCTCCTTCTGTGATGCCTTTGTTTCTGCAACGTGTGTTCTCACTGTGACGTGCTCAAAAGCTCCAGTCTCCTGAGAAATGCACACACTCGGTGGGCAGTGGAGACTCAGCGTCCATCCATACAAGGACATCAATGTCTTCTCAAGAGACTTCTTTTAACGGACTGGTGCTACTGGATGAAGTAGCTTCTCAGTCGAGCCTGGCAGGGATGACAGGTCAAAAGCACCCAATTTAAAAATGGCCAAAGGTGTTCAACCCCGAGTAAGATTATTTATTTTACCATCTCCAAGGTTCAGGGAACACTGTGGAAGAGGGAACACAAAGAATGTTACGAGCTGGAAGAAAAGGAGAAGGGCCCAGGAATGTTATCCTCAAGGCATGACACAATTGTTGT